GGTGGGGGAGGGCATGGGGCAGTATGGGTGGGGGGAGGAGGGAGTCGGGCAGTGTGGGTGGGGGAGGAGTCATGGGCAGTATGGCTGGGGAAGCAGGGTCATGGGCAGTATGGCTGGGGGAGGGAGCCGGGGCAGTGTGGGTGGGGGAGGGAGGGAGTCATGGGGCAGTATGGCTGGGGGGAAGGAGAGGTCATGGGGCAGGATACTAAGGCTATGAGTTCCCCCTCTGGTCTTCATAACATAAGTTCACCACGTAGCTATAAAAATTACAGTAGAAAAATGTATATACCATACATCCTTCAGTCAGTCCTAACATCAATTTATATATATGTATTTATTTGTTATGCGTTTGTTTTCATACTTTTTTGTTGTTTGTGTCTATCAATGATTATTAGAAAATACATCTATACAGTATTATAAACTCAACTAATTCAAAAATACGTATAAGAAATTTAGATAGAGAGAAAACAACTGAAATCTGAAGGACTCTAGAAGTGAAAGCTCTGGTTCATAATTAATTACTTCTATTATAAGTAAGAAAAGAAAGTCATAAGTAGGTCCAAGTGCACTGGTGATAAAGTGTACCTGTCCACGAGGGTGTTTGGAGGCAGAGGAAGGCAGGGGGGGAGGAAGGGGGAGGGCAGAGAGTGAGGGGGGTGATGTGACGTCATTTGTCAACGCTCTTCTCAACGTGTTATTATCAACGTAAGTTGTCAACGATTAATCACGCCCGCATGACCATCACCAACATCATCTGAGGGGGGGTGAGGGGTGAAGGATGAAGGAAGGGTGAGGAGATGGAGGACGAGTGAGGTTGAAGAGGGAGTGAGAGGGGTGAAGGATGAAGGAGGGAGGAGGGGGAGGGGTGAAGGATGGAAGGAAGGAGGGTGAGAGATGGAAGACGAGGAGAAAGAAAGAAGAGATGAAGGAAGCAAAAAAAGAGGAAACGATAAACGAGGCAGAGAAAAATGTAATGAGAAAAGAATGAGGAATAAGACACGAGAAGGAATACAAGTTAAGAGAGAGAGAGAGAGATTGAGAGACGTATTAGAACAAGGAAGTGGGTGTAAGAGGAGAGACAGAGATGGAGTATAAAATATGAGGAACAAGGGAGAGAGAGAGAGAAGGAGAGAATGAGGAATGAGGAGACTAAACACACACACACACACACACACACACACACACACACACACACACACACACACACACACACATACACACACACACACACATACACACACATACACACCCCAACTTGCATGCAATCTTTGAATCATTTATTTGCACATTGATTATAACTCAAAGCATTTATAGATCAAGCTCGTTATGCTAATATTACCACATACAAAAAAAAACTAATAACTACACTCTACACGATTCCGACCCATTCTTCAACACTGGCTATTAGACTCGTAAATAGGTCATGGATTAGGTTAAATGTGCTGTAGTGGGTTATAGGTGGACCTTCAACGTGCTGCCATCTGTTGGTCGAGGTCTCTAGCCTGAAGCCCTAATTTCAGTGCATGTTCAGGAAGTTAAAGAAAAGCTAATGAAGAAGAACAAGAAAAGGCAAATAATAATAATAAGCTGAAAAGGCGAATGAGGAGAAGATGGAAAAGGCAAAGAAAAGGGTGAAGGGACGAAGAAGAAGAGGAAGAAGTAGATAATAGAAAAGTGGCTTACATTAGTTCCTATACAGTGTATGCGGTCTAGATGGCGTCGAAATTGCACCGAGACTCTACCGTAACTAGAGTCTTTTGTCATCCACGGCTTAAATGCGTAAAATGGCGTCAAAGCTACACCGAGACTCTACCGTAACTAGAAGTGTTTTGTCATTCGCGGCTTAAATGCGTAAAAATGGCGTCAAAACTACACCGAGACTCTACCGTAACTAGAAGTGTTTTGCCATTCGCGGCTTAAATGCGTAAAAATGGCGTCAAAACTACACCGAGACTCTACCGTAACTAGAAGTGTTTTGTCATTCGCGGCTTAAATGCGTAAAAATGGCGTCAAAACTACACCGAGAGACTACCGTAACTAGAAGTGTTTTGTCATTCGCGGCTTAAATGCGTAAAAATGGCGTCAAAACTACACAGAGACTCTACTGTAACTACACACGTTCGCTAAGCTCTGTTTATGGGAGTAGATAGATAGATAGAAGTAGGCAGAGTTAAAGACACAGATATAGAGGCAGGCAAAGAGAGAGACAGAGAGAGATAAAGAGAACGAGAGAGACAAACAAACGGGAAGAATAAGAGAAACAGGGACAGAGAGCGAACAAGAGAAATAGAGAGAGATAGACAAAGCAAGAGAATCAGACAGACAAATAATAAGAGAAATATAGAGATGGAGAGATATTGAGAAACAGTAAAATAAATAAAGAGAGAGTTCTTCCTTAGCTATGTCGCCTCTCCACGGTTCGACAGGGAGGCGGTCGAGGTTTACAGTTGAATTTCTTGCACCGCGAACCATGAAGCCTCCTCCCCTCCTTCCTCCGCCCCTCCCTCCCTCCCTTCCTTTTTCTTCTCCCCCACCTCCCTCCCTCTCTCCCTTCCTCCTCCCGTCCTTTCCTTCCTCCTCCCGTCCTTTCCTTCCTCTTATCCCGTCTCTCCTATCAATCCCCCCTCCCCCGTCTTCCCATCTCCCCTCCCCTTCCCTTCTTCCACCATTTGTTGAGAGGTTTTGTCCAGCAAGATTCTGTCTAAAGAGATCAATTTGTCCCACTTCCGGTATTCTATTTGATTTAGGGAAGTCAAAGGCGATATCGAGTAATTCTGATGTGTTTGGGGCGAGATCGATCGGGAACTGTTATTTTATTTGTTTATTACCATGAGCTTCATACAGTGTTTATAATGCGTGGTTATTGTTAAAGTTAAACACACACACACACACACACACACAAACACACACACACACACACACACACATCACTCACCGAAACATAATATAATAATGGTTGCCCCTCATGTAACGAGGATGGCCGGCCCAAGGGCCACCTAGTCGTGAATTTGGTTAAGGTGTAGAAGCTGTGTGACCCAGTGTCAAGGAATAGTCCAAGAAGACCGGACAACTCGCCAACTGCACTGCCGGTAAAAAACGAAACATTACACCACTTTACACCACACCAGAACTATCACCACATACCACTATAACCACCACACGACCACTATCACCACGACCATACCATAACTCACCTCACCACACTACCACTATCAGCATCACTATCACCACCACTATCACACCACACGACCACCACACTACCACTATCACCATCACTATACCGTACCGTACCATAATTCACCTCACCACACTACCACTACCAGCATCACTATCACCACCACTATCACACCACACGACCACCACACTACCACTATCACCATCACTATACCGTACCATAATTCACCTCACCACACTACCACTATCACCAACACTATCACCACCACCATACCATAACTCACTGCCACTATTACACTTGCTCATACTTTCATAATTTTCCATAATTAACTGCAACGACGCCATATATCTGGAGGCACCACAAGACGCCAGAGTTTGTGCCACCATTACACCTTTGCTCAACACCTGTGTAATGACGTAATTACCTGGGTGTCTCCTAATTAACCCGCTGTGGAACCTAATTACCTTTTAAGGCTCCCCAAGATGTACGTGTGTGTGGGTGTGTGTGTGTGTGTGTGTGTGTGTGTGTGTGTGTGTGTAAATTTATATCATGTACACCTCCAACTATCAATTCTACCCCACCACCTCTCCAACAGCCTCCTCCACCGTCTCCAACAGCCTCCTCACCCCGTCTCCACCAGCCTCCTCCACCCGTCTTCAGCAGCCTCCTCCACCCGTCTCCACCAGCCTCCACCTGTCTCCACCGTCTCCCCACCCATCTCCACCAGCCTCCTCCACCCTTCTCCACCAGCCTCCTCCACCGTCTCCAACAGCCTCCACCCGTCTCCACCAGCCTCCTCCACCCGTCTCCACCAGCCTCCTCCACCCGTCTCCCAGCCTCCTCCACCCGTCTCCACCAGCCTCCTCCACCGTCTCCACCAGCCTCCTCCACCCGTCTCCACCAGCCTCCTCCACCCGTCTCCACCAGCCTCCTCCACCCGTCTCCAACCTCCAACAGCCTTCACCTTCTCTCCACCCAGCCTCCTCCACCCATCTCCACCCAGCCTCCTCCACCCCGTCTCCACCAGCCTCCTCCACCCGTCTCCAACAGCCTCCTCACCCGTCTCCACCAGCCTCCTCCACCAGCCTCCTCCACCCGTCTCCAACAGCCTCCACCGTCTCCACCAGCCTCCTCCACCCGTCTCCAACAGCCTCCTCCACCCCTCCACTCAGCCTCCTCCACCGCTCTCCCAACAGCCTCCTCCACCCGTCTCCAACAGCCTCCTCCACCCGTCTCCAACAGCCTCCTCCACCCGTCTCCACCAGCCTCCTCCACCCGTCTCCAACAGCCTCCTCCACCCCTACCTTCCCTCCCTCCTACCATAAACCCAACGCACGTGCCTTCTTTTCCTATCGGAACCAATTAATTACTGGAGCCGTAGGGGCGAGAATACGTCTTACAGTTTAGGGGAACACCGCCTTATTGACCGGCTGACTCTATTAAAAGGTTCAGTCTCTTGGCGGACCTGGGAAAGAAAAGGTTGCAGCACGGTGGAAATTCAACTGTTTTTCTAAACCCCCTTTTGGTGGTGGTTGATGGGGGGGGGGGATAGGTGATCGACGAAGTGGAATTGCATTAGGGTGATTACACGGTTTTAGGTTGTTTACTGCTTGTTAATGAAGAGTGTTTAACGTCCATGGCGGGTTGAGGTGTTGATTGTATGTAATTTTATTAACCAAATCTTTACATAATCCTTATTTCATAAATATAATAAAAATATATAAAATCTTAAACCCAAGAAAAATAAAGTAAATAAGGATAAATTTTATTATTAAACAAAAGTAAAAATCTACAACATGTAAGATGATTAGCGTTTGTAAAACACCTGTAAGAGCCAGGAGGAGAGGAAGAACAATGGCGGCGATCAGGAGTATGAGGAAGACAGTCAGGAAGGTGGCCATGACAGTCAGTAAGGTGGCCATGACAGTCAGGAAGGTGGCCATGACGGTCAGGAAGGTGGCCATGACAGTCAGGAAGGTGGCCATGACGGTCAGGAAAAGGTGGCCATGACGGTCAGGAAGGTAACCATGACGGTCAGAAAAGGTGACATGACAGTCAGGAAAATTAGCCATGATGACAGAAGTCCGGGAAGAATTAGCCATGACAGTCAGAAAGAGTGACATGACAGTCAGGAAAGGTAGCCATGACGGTCAGGAAAATTAGCCATGACAGTCAGGAAGGTGGCCACATGACAGTGATCAGGAAAATTAGCCGCGACGGTCAGGAAGGTAGCCATGACAGGTGAAAGAAAAGAATAGCCATGACAGTCAGGAAGGTGGCCATGACGGTCAGGAAGGTAGCCATGACGGTCAGAGAAGGTAGCCATGATGATCAGAAGGTAGCCGCGACGGTCAGGAAGGTGGCCATGACGGTCAGAAAGGTGGCCATGACAGTCAGGAAGGTGGCCATGACAATCCAGGAAGGTGGCCATGACGGTCAGGAAGGTGGCCATGACAGTCAGGAAGGTGGTCATGACGGTCAGGAAGGGTGGCCATGACGGTCAGGAAGGTATACATGACAGTCAGGAAGATAGCCATGACAGTCAGGAAGGTGGCCATGACGGTCAGGAAGGTAGCCATATGACAATCAGGAAGGTAGCCGCGACAGTCAGGAAGTGGACCTTGACGATCAGGAAGGTGGCCATGACAGTCAGGAAGGTGGCCATGACAATCAGGAAGTATGCATGACAGTCGGAAAAGTGGCCATAGTGGGAAGAGTGGCCATGACAGTCAGGAAGGTGGCCATGACAGTAAGGGAGGTGGCCATGACAGTCAGGAAATGGACCTTGACGATCAGGAAGGTGGCCATGACAGTCAGGAAGGTGGCCATGACAATCAGGAAGGTGGCCATTACACTCAGGAAGAATAATGACTATCTGAACACTATTCTTTTGTGTAATATATATTAAACAGAAATTATTTAACTTTGGAAGATAATAAAGTTTATACTTACATCCGCCAAACAAATAAACTGTTAAATATATTAACAGATACAACTGATAAGATCTTGTAATGTGTCGATTTTATTACACACACACACACACACACACACACACACACACACACACACACACACACACACACACACACACACACACACAATTCAACACATTATACCATCTCGCTTCCTCTTTCTGTCTTTAGTTTATCCGATCAGCAAATCATCACCTTGGCCGTCATTAACAAGCAATATTTCATTCCTTGCCGGTAATTATTGTGTACAAGTACCAGTCCCTGCAGGTATTGCCACACCACACTCAGGTATGATCTAATATTCACATCTGCCCAGGTGAAAAACTCCCTAATTATTGTTCATATCTAGAAAACATCGCTATCTTCTTTTTTCTTCAGTTGTCCCGCCTCTATCAGCGATCATTTATACAACGTTATGACAGGTAATGCCAGCAATTAGTCGCTTGGTCAGGTGATATCAAACCTGTGATCCCAGCGGCTATGCCAGATTTCTATTATTATCGTCCAGTTATATGTTGTTAGTATTTATTTTTATATTCAAGATGGTTGTCCTCTGTGTATTCATTATTGTAGACCATCCTAATTATCGACTTACCTCCCTGTCCTACCTGTGTAAAAGTTCACCTACTGACGCTCGTTAATACAGTTACATACTAAACATGAACAGTTATTAGTCGAAACGTCAGTTACAAGCCATCCTTGTTGTCGACTTATCTACTTCATAACAGCGTCCATACTAACGCCTGGTAATAAGTAACACAAACTCCTAAGTATAAGTTCAGGAAACACACTTCATCCTCGTTGTCTCTTTAACCTACTTAACAAGTATAAAAATGTACATACTAACGGCTGGTAATGAAGTTAAAACTAATAGTTAAGTTAAGACTGGGACGATATGCATAATGACGGCCATCTTGTGCTAATTCCAATAACGTGTGTATAATGAGACATCAGAAGACATTATCACTCTCCTTCATCATCCCACAGTCGTGATTCGCAGGACCAGTGTTTATACCCATCTTCAAATGCACAATTTTCTTCGTTTCTATGAATATTACCATAAATTATGTGCCATTTATTCCTTAATATTCTCTTTCCTGTGGGTTGGTCAGTGTTATTTTCAATACCAATTTACCCGGATATTTATCAGATATTTATAGTCTTTTTTTTATCATCGCCTGTCGTCACCTGTCTCATTTACATATACATATTTTCAGCAGCAAAGATATCCAGTTAGGTACCATTAAATTATATAACACCATTTCGTTCATGATATTAGAGTTTACAGAATTTTAACATGTTTTATGACACCATTAATGAACACGTTTCAAAGAATAGATGACAACGTTCCAGTGTTTGTCCCGGGGAAACGTCATCAAACAGCTGTAACCAATGAGCTCTTGGGAACAGTGTTTGGGTAAGGGCTACCGGCCAATCAACGTTTAGAGGAAGGCTTGTGTGCTGTACTGTTTACTTTGCTGCGGTTCTTGATTGGTTGACTCAATTTTCGCGGCAGCTTTAGCCTGTCCAATTAACTCTCAGGATGAAACTCTCTTTATTTGTTGGTAAATATCACCCGGTGTGTGTGTGTGTGTGTGTGTGTGTGTGTGTGTGTGTGTGTGGAGTTAAGATTTTCCTCGGTTTTATGCTCCGAGTAGAGTCTTAATGCTCAGAAAGACGCTATGCCCTGTGTTGAACGGTGTGTATATAGCCCAACCTACAGTATTCTACACCCCTATACACAACGCCACGTTAACAGCTATACACAGTGTATCACAACCCTCTTGCTGCCAAGTATACAGTATGCGGTAAAGGGCAACGCTCCAAGTGGTGTTGGTGTTATGTTCTTCGTAGACCAAGAATGATCTGTATTGCACAATGTTGCGTCTATAGTTTAGTGATGTAAACAGTACAGAGCAGAAATACTTTAAATAACTCTATGTATCGAGTTAACAGCATCAAGACGCACCTGGCTACACCGATCATGTAGTAGCACAACAGCACAACAGCACAACAGCACGACAGCACAACAGCACAACAGCACGACAGCACAACAGCACAACAGCACGACAGCACAACAGCACAACAGCACGACAGCACAACAGCACAACAGCACGACAGCACAACAACACGACAGCACAACAGCACAACAGCACCGACAGCACAACAACACAACAGCACAACAGCACGACAGCACAACAACACGACAGCACAACAGCACAACAGCACAACAACACAACAGCACGACAGCACAACAGCACGACAGCACAACAGCACGACAGCACAACAGCACGACAGCACAACAGCACGACAGCACAACAGCACGACAGCACGACAGCACAACAGCACAACGACTAGAGTCGGCAGCGTAGAATGACGAAAATGATTCGGGCCTTAGAAACCTTCCATATCAGGATAGGTTAAAGAAACTAAACTTGTATTCCCTAGAAAGACGAAGAGTGCGGGGAGATATGATAGAAGTATTGAAGTGGGTGAAAGGAATCAATAAAGGGGATATAGATAAAGTTCTTATAATATCCGAGCAGGATAGGACTCGAAGCAACGGATTTAAGTTGGATAAGTTTAGGTTTAGGAGGGAGATAGGAAGGAACTGGTTCACAAATAGGGTGGTGGACGAGTGGAACAAGCTTAGCAACTATGTAGTGAGTGCTGGAACGCTGGAAAGTTTCCAAAGGAGACTGGATAGATTCATGGATTATAGAGCGTGGTAGTAACTCTCGACAGGAGCTGCCATGCACAGGCCAACCGGCCTATTGCAGACTCCTTATTTTCTTATGTTCTTATGTTCTTATGTAACAGCACAACACCACGACAGCACAACAGCACAATAGCACACAACAGCACAACAGCAGCACGACAGCACAACAACACGATGCTTTATAAAAGCAATTCTTAGCGATCAATCTCTGAGCAATTTTCCGCACCATTAAATGTTCCATAATAACTAGACGAGTTACGGAGGATAACGCTGCACCAATAGTGTCTCACTGGCCTGATACACTTTGCCGTACAGGGGTAGAATGCTCCTGAGCGTGTGGCAATAGTTATGCTCCAACCAACAGTAGACTCATACAACCAGAGAGTGGAAGAGTGTTCGTCTGGCGTTGTTACTGTAAGATACGTCAGTGAGAAGAGGAACGCCTGGCGATGTTCAGTGATTCTCTACTCTCAGAAAACTGTATATGCTCCGCCCGGGATGTTAGTGGTGGTGGTGGTGGTGGTGGTTGTGGTAAGGGCGGTATTGTCGGTGATTGTGGCTGATGGTAGTGGTAATTATAATTGTGGAGGTGGTGGATGGTGTTGGTGGTGGCTATAGTGTTGTTGGTTGTGATGATGATGATGATGGTGATGATGATGATGGTGGTGGTGGTGGTGGTGGTGACAGAGTTGGTAATGATGGTGATGGTAATAATGGTGATGTGAGGGTGAGTGTGGTAATGGTGATAATGGTGGTAATGGTGATACTGATCGGGAGAGAGAAGAGAGGAGAGAGTTTAAAAACAAAACCCCCCTCCACCCCTTAAAACACAAACGATAAATTCGCTTGTCCTGGGGGTGATAAAATTCATTATACACAATATTTATACCAAATAGTTCATCCCGTAGCTAAACTAGACGATGAAGGACCTAAATGTAACCCATGACACTAGTGGGACTTTCATCCTTAAATAACATAGTCCCTAAGGGTGAAAATAGTCCCCTGGGTTCTGTAGGTCCATTATCACCCCCAACACACGTGCCACTTTTACACAGACACGCGGGGGTTGGGAAGGGACAAATTTTCGAGTGTAGATTAAAAATTCTTCCCGTAGCGGCTGTCAGTCCGAGGCCGACGTGTTTATTCAGGCAAGTCTAGACTGGAATGTTTCAATTTTGGTCTACGGCTCATCGTTTATTTGGCGTGTGGAGGGAGAGGGGGAAGGAGGGGGGGAGGGAGATATAAGAAGGAAGGAAAGAAGAAGGTAGGGAGGAGAAGGAGGAGAAGAAAGGAAGGAAGGGAGGGATAAGTAAGAAGGAAGAAGGAAGGTGAGAGTGAAAAGAGAGAAGGAAGAGATGAGAGGAAAACAATGATGCAGGAA